AAAGTTTGTTCTACACAATAACCTTGTGTATACTAGTAATGTTACCTCTTGCTAACAGTGGGTATCTGCAACTAGCCTAACTACAATGTTTAATCCTGCAAGGTGGCTATTTATCTACCCCTTTAAGAGGAAGAGTTAATTGCATTTGAATCAGTGCTGGACAACAAAACTAGCTATGTCCTCCCAAGTTAACGTAATCATCAGTTCCCAGGCAACCTGCATTAGCCAATTCCTCTTGCCTGTCTAGACTAGTAGTGGACTTCTGTCTACGCCACAGCAGAGATCCCCACATGCACGTTTATAACCCCACTAATTGTCTCAGTCAGTGGCTACTTCCTCCTGGAACCCTAGAAAAACATCTTCCCCTCAGGCCACCTCTACTCTTCTGAGGGGAACTCTTTTATAGAAGCTGCAACCAGTTCCAGCTGAGGGACTTCTTGCTAACTTTGTTACCGTGTGAGGGTATGGGGGCTATAAATCCTAGCACACAGGACAAACCATGTTCAGCTGCACTCGTGGACAGCCATTGTCAACAATGGGCAATTTTGCTACTGTGGATAAGGCTAAAGGTTGTGAATTTTGATACCATGGGGACCAGAGAGCAATTTGATTTACATGGAACTCTGACAATTGTTGTTCTTCCTTGGAATATAAAAAGAGAGGGGGCCAATTTGTTGGGCCTGGAATTCATTGAGTTTTTGCAGCACTATCTCATGAGGATACGGGAGTTCAGTCCACGTAAGAGAGGGCAGGGGGCATGGCCTCAAGGCAGTTGTCCACACAGGACAGCTAACCAGCATTTGGATCCTGCCAAAGCAAACCTGGGCATCTACAGTATTGGGAGAAGGGATAAGGTTTGCTAATGCATGCACTAGAGGCCAGCAGCAGGGCTGTTCTAATAGCCCTGCTAGTGCAGAACAATTTGGTTGGAGACTTAATGGTCAAGATAAGGAACTGGAGCTGTTCTGAGTAGGGATTAGAGGTGTACTAGTGGGGTGGAGGCATTGCTGACCTTACATGACCCCATTCTGGTTGGCTGATGTAGACCAGAGGAAAACATTCCCAGATCTGTAGTACTATATTCCAGGCATACAGGAAGTACAGGAGGCAACAGACCTGTCACATTTGCATTATTATTCACAGAATTACAGCATCCTGAACCAGTGCATGAGATAGTTTAAATGTTCTTACCAGAAAGGCTGCAAATTACGATTGTAACGTTATAAAATAAAGGGTAATGAAAATCATTCTTTCACGGCTAGTACCCTGGTTGCCTTTATTACTATCCCAGCTACAAAATTAATATTAAAGTATTTGGGCTTATGATTTAAGGCAAATGCAAAAAAGCATAACTCTAATCGTTTGATATATATTGTAGGTTTCCAAGACTTTATCTTTAATGTAGTATATATAACATTTTGGTTGGTTGTTTTGTTCTTCAGCAACAGCAGTTATTTGAAATATGTCCGCATGGTTTAGCAGTGTTATTTTTGGACGCCGTAGGAATATGAAAGGGGAATAAAAGCCAACTGTCGCTATTAATTGGAAATAATATATTTAATTTTGGAAGGCTGGAATAATAGAAAACATGCCTGGGTGTTCATCTCTGGTCGTCTGATCTTTTTCTGTTATTAAATAAATCAAAACCTCTTGTGGTTTCAACCTGTAATATTAGATCTCTAAATATCTGACTTACACTTTCAGTAATCACTCTAATGACTGCCAGCCTTAGAGGAGAACTGTTTCATACTAGCCTTCCCATACTGTTGGAAGAATTAGATCCATCTCATTTTTAACAATCCTGGGTTTGTTTGGTGTTGTTTTTTTTAAACTGATACTCTACACAGTTGCCACTGCTTTTGCCAATTACCTGCCAGAAAACAAAGCCATATTTTAATGGTTGTGGGTGAGGGCTTTTGTGTGTTGTTTTAATGTCTAACGCACAACTCATGATTTTATCACGAGTCTCCCGATTTTTGGTGTTTTTCTTAAAGACCCAGCTCCTGGAAGCATGTTGGTAGGTGAGAATCTCAGTTTTCATTTTAAAAAGTAAGTTTTTTGCCCTCATGGTTGTACAGTAAAGTTTGAAAACATGAACCTAGCCACCCCTAAAGGTTCAAAATCCAGAGAGCAAATAAAAAGAACCCTTATTTAATCAGTCTTTTAAAAATATCATGAATTTTAAGCTAATCAAATATAGTGCTTTTTATAATGCAAGTATTAGATTTGTTTAGAGGTGTGTAAAAACACTTGCATATGTAGTTCAAACAGTGAGACTCACCAGTGTTTACTGTCACAAAGAGACATGGAGGTGCGTATCTGATGAGGGAGAAAGTAGTTTTACATAGACCATCACTTTATTTTTGCTTTGCAGAACTATTGACATTAGGGTCACTTAACCATTAGTGTTTAGCCTTATTAGAACTCACATGACTGCTGCTTTTTAGCTACCGTGGAATGCTAATATATGCCTAATGAAGTTTATTGGCCTCAGAGTGGTGGTCTGGGAAAGAAATACAGGGCTCCTGGTGTGCATCCCTTACACAGCCCAAATTCCCAGTGCCAAAAGCAATGAGAATTTTGGGTGGGCAAGAAATGCCCCTGGTTCAGAAAGAAACGTTTTCTAATAATATTTTATAACCTTCTTAAACTACACTCAAAGCTAACCCCCGAATCTAACCACTAAAAATAAGCACAGTAGTCTGCATGGCTGGAATAGTTAAAATTATAATGTGGATTCCACTGTAAATGCAAGTTTCAATGTGTGCAATTATTATTATAAAATATTTATAGTATGGTAGTACCCAGAGGTCCCAACCTGGGTTCAGACTCCATTGTTCTGTTGCTGTACAGAGTAAATAGACAACCTGAAGAGTTTACAAATCTAAAGAATGACAAGTACTTTATTAGGAGGAAAGAACACAACGTGCATGTTTTGCACATTCCCTTAAAATGAAGTTTCTTGCTAAAGCTCTGCAATGAAAATGTTCCAATAAAATCCTGACTAAGCCAGACCAGAATATCATAGAATCATAGAAGATTAGGGTTGGAAGAGACCTCAGGAGGTCATCTAGTCCAACCCTGTCCTCAAAGCAGGACCAACACCAACTAAATCATCCCAGCCGGGGCTTTGTTAAGCCGGGCCTTAAAAACCTCTAAGGATGGAGATTCCACCACCTCCCAAGGTAACGCATTCCAGTGCTTCACCACCCTCCTAGTGAAATAGTGTTTCTTAATATCCAACCTAGACCTCCCCACTGCAACTTGAGACCATTGCTTTTTGTTCTGTCATCTGCCACCACTAAGAACAGCCTAGCTCCATCCTCTTTGGAACCCCCCTTGAGGTAATTGAAGACTGGTATCAAATCCCCCCTCACTCTTCTCTTCTGCAGACTAAATAAGCCCAGTTCCCTCAGCCTCTCCTCGTAAGTCATTTGCCCCAGCCCCCTAATCATTTTCATTGCCCTCCACTGGACTCTCTCCAATTTGTCCACATCCTTTCTGTACTGGAGGGCCCAAAACTGGACGCAATACTCCAGATGTGGCCTCACCGGTGCCAAATAGAGGGGCATAATCACTTCCTTTGATCTGCTGGCAATACTCCTACTAATGCAGCCCAATATGCCGTTAGCCTTCTTGGCAACAAGGACACATTATTGACTCATATCCAGCTTCTCGTCCACTGTAATCCCTAGGTCCTTTTCTGCAGAACTGCTGCTTAACCAGTCAGTCCCCAGCCTGTAGCAGTGCATGGGATTCTTCCGTCCTAAGTGCAGGACTCTGCACTTGTCCTTATTGAACCTCATCAGATTTCTTTTGGCCCAATCCTCCAATTTGTCTAGGTCACTCTGGACCCTATCCCTACACTCCAGCGTATCTACCCCTCCCCCCACTTGCTGAGGGTACAATCCATCCCATCATCCAGATCATTAATGAAGATGTTGAACAAAACCAGGCCCAAGACCAACCCCCAAGGCACTCCACTTGATACCAGCTGCCAACTAGACATGGAGCCGTTGATCACTACCCCTTGAGCCCGATGATCTAGCGAGCTTTCTATCCATTTTATAGTCCATTCATCCAATCTATATGTTTTTAACTTGCTGGCAAGAATACTGTGGGAGACCGTATCAAAAGCTTTGCTAAAGTCAAGGTATATCATGTCCACTGCTTTCCCCATATCCACAGAGCCAGTTATCTCATCAGAGAAGGCAATCAGGTTGGTCAGGCATGACTTGCTTTTGGTGAATCCATGCTGACTGTTCCTGATCACCTTCCTCTCCTCCAAGTGCTTCAAAATGGATTCCTCGAGGACCTGCTTCATGATTTTTCCAGGGATTAAAGTGAGGCTTGTTCCCCAGATTCTCCTTTTTAAAAGATGGACACTATATTTGCCTTTTTCCAATCGTGCGGGACCTCCCCCGATTGCCACGAGTTTTCAAAGATAATGGCCAATGACTCTGCAATCACATCAGCCAACTCCCTTAGCACCCTTGGATGCATTAGATCTGGACCCATATCTCTGATCACGCTAATAAACTCTCATTTCAGATACAATAGTTAACCCTTGATCTGGAGTAGCTGTAGCCAATGTTAAAACAATTTTAAAATGAAAGCTACACAAACTTTGCCCAAATTTATGACTTTTGCTTAAATTTAGCATTGTAGCAATACAAATAATACAGTAGGGTTGGTATGTATTGATAACCCGTTCTCATTCTGCCCAGTTCATTTGAAGAAACTGAGTAAGCTATTCCTGGCAAAGATCATGTCCAACTCCACAGCTCTGATCCTGCAAACACTTGTGCATTTGCTTAACTTTATGGCTTGTAAGAAATCCCATTGAACAAATACAATGGAGCCCTAATTCTCTCTGGAGCCTCTGGGCACTACTATAATAATGAAGATTCTTTTCTAATTTGGGTAATTACATTCTGCCTTCCTTAAAAATGTGCCATATTGTTGTGTTTGAAAACATCCTTCGTTTTCCCTTCCTATAGGAAAAAGCCCATGGTTGCATAGCATTGTAGGATAAGAATGGCTGCCCTGTTCCACTGCACGGGAGAGTGCATTCCAGTGGCAGGTAAAGTGAGCCCTGTGTATATAACAATGGAAGTGTTTTGGGATCCTGTTAGAGAGCAGATGCTAAATAAATAGAAAGGCTTGTTATTCTTCAAGTGAAGAAAGTGCTAGGAAGACTGAGGTTAAAACCCAGGCCCAGATCCCATGGTAAATGCTGAAGTGAGGAGACTCTTGGGGAGGAAATCTCAGCCAATGGGCCCTGGCATGGATCCTTCCTATGTCATCTTATTGGCAGGGGAAGTTTTGTACCTCCCATGGAAGGACTGTGGGACCTGCTGCCATGCCAGGGTAGAGTTCCCCCGGGATCCTTTGAAGGCAAGAATCTTCCCCAAAGGCCTGTGCCTCTGTGCCTTTTTCGGTTTCCTGGCCGTGAAGTTCCAATGGACCTGCAACTCATACTGCGGCTGCTGTTGGAGTGGGGGAAGGGTAGGTGGGAATAAAACACAAACTGGCACAGTGTTATCATCAACTTCTAAGATTGTCAGGGCCAATTTGGGATGCTGTGCATTTCCCCAGCCCTCCCCCTACTACACCCATTCTTCTCCTAGAATTGACTGTCTCAGCAAAGTATTTAAACATGGGAGCAGTCCCACTGATTTAAAGTTAAGCATATCTATGCTTAAGTACTTTGTTAGACTGGGGGTAGAGTGCTCAGAATCGTGCAGGATTGAGCCACTAGTGCGAATCCTTGAATCCAGGAAGAGGCAACTGAACATCCTTTCTCCTTCTGCACAGGAGGGTAGAGAGTCGCCCATAAGGAGGGGTCCTCCATTGCCAGATGAACGAAACCATCTAGCCCTGGTTGAAATTAGTATACTCCAAACAATTTCAAGAAGTGGCTAAAGTACGCAATTGGACTAGAAGAGATTTATAGCAATGCAGGAAAAAGTGCCTCATCCTTGTGTTTGAAAGGAGATGTATTAATTTGAGACTAGCAATAAGACAGATATGTTCTGACACATGCTATTACATCAGCTAATAGCCAATTAGTCTGCTTGCTTTTTCCAGTACATTTGTGAAGGAAAAATAAAATTTTTCAAGATGTGACTTCAGGTTCTCATTTGTTATCATGCTACAGAAGTACTGCAATAAGACTCAACAGTGGCCCCTCACCCACACTACAGAGTGAAAATTCATTAAATAAAAACATTGGGTCTCTAGATGAGGTCCAAATCCAAATCTTTAAGGGGGTCTTAATTATTATTACACTGTTAAAGCTCCAAATGTAGTTGTAACCACATCCTATCCACTGATTAACAACCGTGGCTGTTTTTGTTCATAGCAATTTTTTAATATTTGTAAAAATGTGCTACATTTACAGTTCTGCAAACTGGTGTATTGTACATCCACAAAACAGATGCTAGGAGCATAGACAGAGGCCACACTACCCCAACGATACGCTTTCCGTACTCCCATGGAAGAACGATGGCAAAGACTGAATTTATTGGCTCGCCCATTGACTTAATTACTCCAGTCTCCACGAACGGCGGTAGCTATGGCAGCGGGAGAAGCTATCCTACCGACATAGCACTGTCAACCCTGGCACTTAGGTCGGTGTAACTTTTGTTGTTCACGGGAGTGGCTCATCACACCCCTGAGAGACATAACTTATATGGATGTAAGCTGTAGTGTGTACATAGTCTAAAATAGGTACAGCACTTCACAGATGTAACTCTCAATGACTAGAGTTTGCCAAATAACTATTGATATTGTAGGCTGTTGCACATTAGTTTGTATTGCTTTCTCTATAATCCAATGGCATTGGCTAGGAAATGGTCTTTAGCTAACTTAATCAAGGATGTTTTGTTCAAAGATTTCACTCAACTGAATTCCGCTGCTACTTTCTCTCTTGGATCATTAGCTAAATTTTCTCAAAACTCAATAGGGTAGGTCACCTTCAACAAAGGAGGGATTTCAAATTAAATGGTGGACTGAGACCAAATGACTTTCAGGCAAAATGCATCAAAACAAAGATCCCTAATATAAGACGGTCTGAGAATCTGAATATTCAAGAAAAGCAAATAAGATGCATCGGACTGGACACTGAATACAGCACCATTTATAGCATACATTGCTATTTGGTATGGCAAATCTCTCTGGGAAGTTTCCATGTAAATACAGCTGCAAAATACAATCAACCATTTTTAAACCCATACCTGTGCCTTTTCAAATTTCTATTTATACATTTTTGTCTACCATGTCTTATTCTGGCTGTTAAATACAGGCTGGGCTTCCTTGCCATCTCTGGACACAAGACTAAAAACAAGAACAGAGTAATATGGTTCAAAATAGCTTACCAAAACTACTACTTCCAAAGAGGAAACACAATACATCTATATGCGCAGGTGATGCAATACAACATACAATTTGATTCCAGCTCCATCAGCACTGCTGACCTTTTAATTTGTTTTCCCAAATCTTTTTAAACCTTTCCTTTATAATAGTTCTGCTGGAGAACTAAGTGGATGGAATGTTTGCTATTCTATCTATCTTAGGGTTTCATACGGCTGCCCACCACCATAATAACTGGGCACGTTCCATGTAAGATCAGAAATAAGAAGTCCCTAGTGAACTTCATGGAGCATCTGGCACTTCTCCCTTTTCAAAGTTCTTGCTTGGTAAGGCTTTTGTTTTGTTAGATTTTATTAATTCTCATCCTCTCTTTTGAGGGGGATGTTAGGGATTTACTGTGTAAAGAGGGTTTTGGTGGCGTGAGTATCGTTTTGATGGTTTAAAGGCTTTGTTGAAGAGAAAGGTTAGAGTTTCTTAAAGATGGTCAGACTGAATTTGCCTAATCTCTGGAAATTAGTTACATAGCTCGAGCCCCTGGAAATGCTTTGCCCTATACTCTGAAACCCTTCATCCTGAGCTTTACCATCTGCATTGTCCCGGAGAACAGCAGTTGCAATGGTTGATAGATCAAAATTCTGTCTCTGATGTAATTGCTTTGAAAGTGAGGATCAAGGCTTTAAACATGCCCAGGAAGCTGACTGGGAGAAAGTACACGGATCTGAACATAGGCCTGAGGTGCTCATAGATACCTAAGTCGTGGAGAAAGCAGGCAGTCACATTCTGTACCAGATGGACTCTGTTTGCACCATCTTCACATTCAGCTTCGGATACAGTGAATTACAGAAATCCAGCCTGGAAGTAACAAATACATATAGCCAGGTCCTCATCTGGGAAGAAGGGGCTAAATTTTCTAGCAAGCTGGAGGTGACAAAAGGCATTTTTAGAAACTGATACTACCTGGTCATCCAGGATTAATGCATGAAGTGAAAAAGTTTCACACCACTTTGATGAATGGAGGCTGTGCGCCTTTAACGAAAGGTGGAGATAACATCTCCGCTAATTCTCCGTAACATTTCCCCTTTCCAACCAGCATCACTTCTGTTGTGCCTGGGTTCAGTTTGAGCCAGCTGCTCTTCATCCAAAAGCTGATTTTCTTGCAGGCATTCTGACATCTTACAAGCACTGGCGGTTGTGTCAGGTAAATATGAAATATATAGTTGAACATCATCAGCATGCTGGTGGCAGCTGAGTCCATGGCATCTCACTATCTCACCCAGTCATCCCATGTAGATATTGAAGAGGAAAGAGTATGAATCCCTATGGGATTCTCGGGGTGAAGGCGGTCAGGGATCCACAGGATGCGCTAGATTTTAAAGAGTCCCCAGGCAATGCTTTCAAAACAGAGTAGAGTTTATTAGTTAACTGGAACACATTTGCAGTCCTTACGTTAACATAGAGAAATAAATGTTAAGACGTAATCCACCTGGCCAAGCCACTGCCATCAGCCATGCTGCTCTGGACTTAATTTCAGGTTCCCTTTTCCAGTCCCCTGTGAGCACTGTCAAGCCTCTTCCAAAAACCAATTACTTTCAGTCCTTTGGCTTCAGACAGAGCCATGATGAATTTACCTACCCTGCCTGTTGGAGCTTGTCGCTGTTAAGGGTTGATTGTTCAGTCATTGGGGGGTTTTCATTGGCTCTCTGGATCCTCCGTTATTTGGAGTTTGTTTCAACCAGTTCTTTAATGACCTGTTCATTCCATCCAGACAGCCAGGTGACACATACACATCATATCTTCTGTTCTGCCCCAAGAGCAGTCTTAACCCTTTCTCCCCCATCCTACTGGGTAGCAATGCAAAGTACAGAGGCAAAATGAAGCACAATTAGGATTCATAAAATTATGACAGAGAATTCTCACTTTGTCACAAGCGTCTTCAGAGAGGAGGAACCACTCTAAGTTCAGCTGGAGAGAAATGACTGGAACCACCATAGTGCCTGGCCATCTATTCAGGTTATCAGTATCTTGTAGTACACTGTGTCAAAGACCAGCAGTATGAGCATGGACATCTTGTCTGTATCTATGGCCATGAGAACATTTTGTAGTGCCATTAGAGCTGTGCCTGTTCTGTGCCCTGGTCTGAACCCTGATTATGAGGCATCCAGGTTGTTGGATGATGTCACATTGTTGACATTTGGTGATTCCTATCTTCTCAATTATTTTGGCCAGGAATATGAAGCTGGGGACAAGATGGTGGTTGGAGAGGTCTTCACGGTCAAATGAAATTAAATAATCATTTTCATTTCTGATTTGACTGTTAAGCACATTTTTAAAACATCAGGAACAGGGTAACATTTTTAAGAGCCCTATCACTCAAACAGCTTTCTTTTAAAATCTTCCTACACCCAGACCTCACTCAAAATAAAGTAAGGAAAGGGAAATGAAAATAGAGCTTAGAATGGATCAAGCCTTCTTAAATTTTAAGTGAGTCCCTACCAAGCAACTTCTTCAGTAATTTCCAGCATTGTGGGAGTGCATACTATTTATTAGCAAATCTATACACGTAAGTAGAATCCATATGAACCCAAAATAGCTCAGTGTCACAACATTATCTGAATAAAAAGCATAAAAATCCATGTTTTCCCACAATTAATGAGACACTGAACTTTAGTTTTCCTAGCCAGAATATATGTAGGTATCAGTTGAACACATTTTACTGATATATTGACAATTTTCAAACAAGTTTGACACCTAACTGTGCCATCAACCACTATAATAAAATAAAATAGCATTGCAGTTCATATTTCTTACATTAACTAAATACTTGTGTCTGTATTTTCAGAAGTTTTTTTTTAAATACACAAAAATGCTGGAATGATCCTGTCACAGTGCATTGTTTCTGTACTGTTTTCAATGGTCCTGCAGTTTCAGCCTCATTTTCATTTCTTTTCATTGTTGGTTTAGCCCTTTCCATGTGTTCTACAATTGTCCACCTTCTAACGTAATCTAGAGCCTTGCTGCATACAGTGCAGAACAGCACATTTCACAACGTGAAAGTTGTCCATGCCAAACTCAATAACCTGGTCTTTAGAGGTGATTTTTAAATGTTTTCAGCAGCTTTTCACAACCTTAATTACTCACACCTGGAGGCTGAAGAGACAATTGAGATGCATTAAAACACAGACCTCTATATACTGTTGAATAACCGCTATATGCGGCAGCGGCTTATTGGAGTATTATTTAGCAATGTAAATTTAAAGCACATTCGGAAATCAACCACAAGAGGGGGAGATTGCACGTACTGAATAAGCGACACTGGTACTTTTCCATCATGCATATTAGATGTGGATTTGTACTTAGAGCACTCATGGCTGATAGCTTCTTCATTTAGCAGCTACCTCCACTTCTGCTGCACGAGTCTGCACTTTCTGCAGGAAATTCTACTATAAATTGTCCTGTTTCCTTTTGATTATTTTGAGTCTATGTCCAGCTGAACATCAGTAAATTGGTCCATGGTGTACACTGAAGTCCTCAATTCTGGTGGGGTTTATTTCTCTTTGCTGACGGCAGGTAGCGAAGCCCTGGCTAGCTCAGATGGCTGGCTCCAAACCATGTATCAAGAGCTTGTTTGCTCTGGGTAAGTTCTGTAGCACCACCTGAGCTGGTCAACAGGTCAAGGTCTATTAATTTGCCCAACCATTCAGTTGAGCTATTTTAGAAGTGAAGCTGGAGGCTTTCCAGTAAAGCTGCACAAGTGATCAATGGGGGGAGGGATAGCTCAGTGGTTTGAGCATTGGCCTGCTAAACCCAGGGTTGTGAGTTCAATCCCTGAGGGGGCCATTTAGGGATCTTGGGCAGAAATCAGTACTTGGTCCTGCTAGTGAAGGCAGGGGGCTGGACTTGATGACCTTTCAAGGTCCCTTCCAGTTCTAGGAGATAGGATATCTCCATTAACTTAACTTAATAAAATGTAATTTTGGCTCTTCACTTCCAGAACTCCTTTATACAAACTCTCTTGTGAAATCACCTGTTTTTATTTCCACATTACATTTCTCACTGTACACGTCAGTTTTTAACACTAATTACCTGCAATTGAATATGTGGTTTCTCTCATTTTCTTAATCTGTCTGCATAAAAACTGGTTTTACTAAAAGTTAGTATTTTGACATTGAAGGACCATCTGCTTCAGTGAACATCCATCTGTATTTACTTCATGTGTGCAAGACATTTTGATTGGTTTACTGCTTTTAATAGTTGTTTTAGTGAAATTTTATTTGCATTCCAATTTCTTTTTTTATATATATGGTTAAAATATTTTCGTTGGAGGAGGATTTTTTTGGGACACATGTATTAACCCTTCTGACAAACTAATTTAGTAAACAGGTTCAGACTGTATTCATTTGGTATGTTTATCTTTATACATACATTGCATAGTGTCAAGTAGCAGGAGCAGCAATTAACTATTTTCATGCACTTACCTCCTTCAGAGTACACTGCTAGTGTTTTTTTGTTTTTTTTCCCAGTCAACCCTTAACATTTTATCAACCAGCTCTGCTACTAAATTTACTATCAATGGGCCTTCTCAAGCAGCTTCTTAACAAGAGTGCAACACTCCTGGCTGCGCTATTCAGGGTTCTCATGCCCAAGCAAAGGGTTAGATAAATATACCAGTAGTTTACAGAAATAGAGCTGCTTAGGGAGGTAGAAGCTCATGAGCTTGTTCACAATTACAGGACCATCTCCAGCCCCACAGTTCTAATGAGTGCTTTATGTTACATTTATGCATTTTTATCAGAGTTGATGCAGCAAAGAGAACTAGAGCAGGATGACACACTGGATGGAATGAGTTCAACGCTTCTGAAAAACAGGCCCTTTGTGCTACCCTTCTATCACACATTTTTCCACTGTTCCACTAGTGGTAGCACTAACATAGCCCTGCTCTGGTGTTTTTAACAGTGTCATATAGGCCTGTTTTGGACATCTTGTCTACACTAGCACTCCTAGCATTGCAACGGTCAGTAGAGTTACACTAACAGCAATGCAACATTGGGAGAAATTTAAGAAAATGCCCAATAGACACAACCTTATTAAAGTGGCGAAAAATGGATTTTGATACCTAACTTTGGGCATTAAAGTTTGACCTTAATTGTTTCAGTTTCGCTGCTGTACATGAGAATCTCTCCTAAATCAGAGAATTTCACTAAATGTTTCTGTAGTGCTCTGGAATCCTTAGAAGATTATAGAAGTGAAAAGTATTATTAATAAAGTACAATATATTTTTATTAGTTATTTCACAAGTTATCCACATAGCTCTTGACTAAGAAACAAAATTCATCCAACTCATCTTCACTGTCAGTTATATTAAAATTATCTTCATCAGTAACATTGTATTTACAGACTCATGGAGTATTAAAAACACCATTATGAAATTCCAAAGTTTTTTTTAAATCTAAAAATCATATCAGGACCTAAAGTCACAAACACTCGTTTATAAATGTGTCCATTACTATAACTAAGGAAGTTCTTTGTAGCCATCTTTAACATTTCTATTAGTTTTAACTGAAATGGTGTTATGAAATAAACAGCTCCAGGTAAATTAATTTTGTCAAACATGCTGTTTGTGAACTATTTTACAAATATACTATTCCAAGGAGCTATTTGTGGGAGGGGGAAAGATGGTATTGCAATCGGTTGTCTATAGTTCACTCCCAAGCCCCAACACTGGCACTAATTCTTCAGAAACACTTACAGTTTATGGGATTCAACATCCATAAAGTTATTATGAATTTTGCCATTTTACAAGGAGTAGAGACTGGACTGAGGAAAGCCAAACAACTGGATTTTATTTTATTTTCAGTTTCTTTCTGGCTTGAAATTGTTCTGTTTTATTTTTGATAGATTTTATTAGCATTGATAAAGCAGGATCTACAGATTTCTTAGTGATGTTTCCCGTCTTTCCAATCTCATTCTCCTGCATCTGTTTTGCAAGATTCTGCTGCTTTTGTTCTCTTTGGCGAGCTTTCTCCTCCAAAATTTTTTCCACTGCTTTTGTCTTTTTGAAGTTTGGATCAGAAGGATCCAAATTAAACAAGTGAGAAGTATACAGTGCTTGAAACCTTGTATCAGCAACATTCACCTGAAGATAGAAAAGAGAACCTATTTCAGTTAACCTTACTACCAATGAAAAATAATATTGAGAAACAGGACAGAAAATGTAATATACCAGAAAATATTGCAATCATATTTAAATGACAGAATGTGT